AAACATTATATCTGGTGTCTGAATATTTTTCGGTTTGAATAAGATAGATAGATAGATAGATAGATCGATAGATAGATAGATATGGATCTATCTGTGGAAAATGAATGTAGTTATGTCAAATTGGGAAATGACTACAAAATATCATGATCTACCAACTTAATAACAACAACAACAACAACAACAACAATAATAATAATAATATGATGATGATGACGGTGCTTATTATTATTATTATTAGTTAAAGGTGAGGGATCGTGGTATTTTATACTCATTTGATTTCAGACATAACCCTTCTTTAAACGCATTTGAATCTTAATTATAATTTGGTGCATTTAAACAAACACATGTACACGGTATCAAAAAGCATTAATTGTGCCCATTATATTGGGTCGGCAACACTGTACGATTTCCCTTTTAAGAAATGTATAATCTACTAGAGATTTACATGTAACGTTACAGCAGAGCAGCCACAGCGAGGCGCATGATTTGCGTCACCGAAGAGGCTGGGCTGGTCTCTCACTTCCTGGTTACTGCAGCTCTGCTGGGTTTGGTTTATAGATTGTTTTGGAATGAAAGCAGTTTCCCGTAACTGGGTTGCATCGGTGCATGTAGCGCTTAGTCTTATTGGGCTTCCCTACGCTGCTGGCACAAGTGGAGTCTGGTAGGTAAATGAATGTAATCATTAATATTAATTTGAATTCTGAAGCTGTAGTTGTGACACAAGCTTGACCGGTGTGTAATCTGCTCTCTTTTTTGACTTGTGAGTTTTAAAATAAAAAAACCCGCTCCGGTATGGAAATTATTTTTAAAGGTACATCAGCAACGTAAGGGTAGCAGGAAGAACGCCATTAGCCGCAGTCTCTTTTCATCAAAATCTGTCTACATGTCTCCTGCCGCGCACGTTAAGGCTCGCTGTCCGGTATATCCCGGCTCAGACACACGCCGCTTCCCTGTCCCAGATGACAAAGTAGACTGGGACACAGACTGGCCCCAGTACAGCCCTGTTAACTATACCGCCCCCACTGTACTGAAAAAGCCTGTTTGGGCTGACCCAGAGATTGGGTGAGTACAAAATAAATAAACAAATAATATAAAAAAATTAAGAAATATATCATTTTATTTATGTTTAGTATATATTATTTTATTTCTACAATAAATTGCAGCCCTAAATATTAGACTGTAAATTTTATGATTTTGTAAAAAAGAAAAAAGAAAAGGTGTACCACAAGAGAATTATAGTGATAATCATTTTCCTGATAATGTTTTGAAACATACATATAAAAATCCATTTATGCTTTCTTTAGTCCATTTTCCCCACAGTTCAATTCTTTAGATGGATCTGTGGACAGGAGAAGCCATGAGGGCTCGTATCGTCTCCAGAATGGCAAACCACTGTGAGTCCAAATACTAGATCATCCAAAATATTTCAATAATTGTAATATTTGCAATGCTTTCCTGCTTATTACTCACCGTAAATCATCCTCAGCAATCCACATGGAAGAACTGGGCTAGAGGGCCAAGGATTACTGGGAAGGTGGGGTCCAAACCACGCCGCTGATCCAATAGTTACCAGGTACTAAAATGTGTGTCGTAATAAATAGAAACCAACCTTTTACCTGTAATCTCTTTCCCATTTGACCGGTTTAACTGTTCCATGCATGCAAGGAATTTTGTGTGTAATGTGGCAGGGTTCGCATTCTTCAAACATTCTTGAAAACTCATTCCGGTTTCCTGTGGCCTCATACAGGTGGAAAAGGGTCTCTACAGGACAGCGTGTCCACCACACTAACTCTCAACTACCTGTGCTGCAATTTGTGTCCATCAAGAGGTTGGACTGTGGCGAATGGGCCATCCCAGGGGTGAGTATGAACCTCGGGGCTTGTTTTACATTTTCCGAATGGTTATTTTGAGTGAGCAGCATCTGTGGGGTGAGGTTTTTAAAAATTCATTCTGCTAATATGCTCACAGATGGTTATGATAATTGTTGTGTGTTCAGGGAATGGTGGACCCTGGAGAGCGCATTTCTCAAACACTGCAGCGCGAGTTCTCAGAAGAGGCATTGAACTCTCTGCAGGCATCTCCAAGTGAGAGGGAAAAGATCCAAAAGCGAATCACTGAACTTTTCAACTCAGCAGGTCTTCAGGTGAGACAATGCGATTACACTTCAATGATTTGGAATAATTATGATACTTAAATGGTTTTGAAAGAGGTCTCTTATGCTCACCAAGGCTGCATTTATTTGCTTAAAAATACAGAGAAACATATGAGAGATTAGATTATACTATTTTAATATATTTTATAATGCAATTTATTCCTGTGATTCAACAGCCTTGATTGAAAATTGATAAAGGATTATTTTATGAATAGACACTTATCAACTTATTCGAAATATAAACATTTTGTAACATCACAAATGTCTTTAAATGTTGTCATTACTGAATAAAAGTATTAGGTTTTTTTTAACTTACCACAAAACTTCGAACGGTAGCGTATTGCAGTTTCCATAAAAATATGAAGACAGTCTTTTCAAGCTGTTTTCCAATTTTAAATTACATTATAAATGTAAAAAAAAAAACCCAGTGTGGTCAAATTAGCAAACCTTCAGCAAAATTTTGCAGGTAAAAAAACCCTATAGCGATACATGAATCACCGTTTACACAGAAGTCAATTTTAAACCTGTTGGCCAACACAGTGAATTTGTGTGATCAAATTTAACACCGTGAAAATTTTTTTGCACTCATGAAAACAGATCACGCAGATTCCTGTTGCAATTACTGGATTTCACTTACAGTATTTTACCAAACAACGGTAAATGTGACTGTACCTTGCATTGCATTGCAGCGCTATATAACACAGCATCTTTTTTCCTATAGGTGTATAAAGGTTATGTAGATGATCCAAGAAACACAGATAATGCTTGGATGGAGACAGTTGCAGTCAATTTCCATGATGAATCAGGTAAAAACAGTGTATTGATGAAACAGAATAATATTAGGGATATGTTATTGACTGAGTAAAGAACATTGTTCTATCCCACATATTTAATTCAATTCTTTCTATCTAGGCAATAGTGTGAGTGAGCTTCCATTGCAAGCAGGCGATGACGCAGGTCAAGTGAGCTGGATTGATGTTGACTCCTCTCTGGCCCTTTATGCGAATCACTTGCATTTCCTAGAGACCGTTGCGAAGGAAAGAAATGCACACTGGTAACAGAAAATAATAAAAAGTGCCTTTCTGCTTTAACATAAATGAAGGAAATCTTTGTATGTGTGTAATTTAAATGACACGTATGAAGAGGTGTAGCTTGGATACGTAATTTAGATGCAAACTAGGAAAATCAGTTCTGGTGCTGGCACATATTTATATGAAGCATGAACCATTTGCTACAACACTGCCAACAGTTGAATTCCAATAAACCAAAGGTTAACCTCAATTATCTGTACACTTTCTTAATATCCATATTATAATGCATGGCTACTGAAAATGGAAGCATAAGGATTATTTACATTTTCCTGTCACACTGAACTGAACACTACTACTTGATTAAGAACTTGGTCAGCTTGTGTATGACTCTCTCTGTAATAACCAAAAGAAGAAAAAAAATCTTATACACTTGTATACACAAATGTGTTGTTTTATCTGTTTGTCAGTTGTGCTATATTTCAATAATTTGAAGAAAATGATTTGGGGGAAATGTATTTGATAGTTTCATACTGAAGTGATTTGATTTATTTTGACACTCAAAAGCAGTTAGATCAAGAAATATGAAAAAGTGTCAGAGTATGCTTGGTTTGGAGAATCATGGACACTATGAATTCTCTGAAAGCCTGTTTCTTTTACACTTGTTCAAGGACGTCTCCAGGTTCAATATAAGTCAATTGTCTCTCATTTTCTTAAAAAACAAAAAGTAGGTTACAGTGAGGCACTTGAGTCGAGTAAGTACTTGCATTGCTGTTTGCAACATCTTTGATCATGTCAACATTAAAGCGTGAGAGTGACACAAGGGAAAATAATTTCTTGATGTTAGTTTTAACCTTGCAAAAATGACGAAGTATGTGCTCTCAGACGAGGGGCCAGAGTTGTTGATGAGGTAGAAAGATTGGTTTCAGAGATTTTCATCATGACTTCAGTTTTAAATGATTCTATGGTGACAAAATCAGCTTTGATCATGGCCTCTCTTGCCATCTGGTTAACTGTCGTTCATATGATGGGATCAGTCAAACGATTGTTGGTTGTAACAATGATAGTTGATCTAATCAAGAGTGAAGAAACCTCCAGTAAGGAGATCACAGACTAGCACACTACATATTTGATCTTACCCCTTTTAGGGAATTCTTTTTGTGGTAGCAAATGAATATATTACTTGCTGAATGATTTCTTTAGAGCATAAATGTATGATTTGATGGACAAAACCTAGTTTAAATGCATTTTAAAACACTAAACTATAAGTTACATTATAAAACATTGTCCGATTTCTCCTCGCACATCTTTGATCCATTTTAGTTGGCCACTCTGTAAGATCAGAAACAGAAAAAGGGTACTTAATAGCAAATACCTTACCTAGTCTAATCAAAAGGAATAATCTGCTTAATGTTGGCAATCAAACACCACAATATTTTGGACTTTAAAATGTTTATTTTGTAAAATAGCAACAGGTCAGAACCAAAACAGCCTCCAATTTATGCACACATCAACTAGATCCCATTATTAAACCTGTAACCATTGAACTCAAAATAGTACAGTAGCTTTAAGTATAGCCAGTTTTCAATGCCTTTAACTGAGCACCTAAAAGTTGACAAGTGTTATCTTTTGTGTATGATCTTGTCCATGATGCCATTGATGTATTACTTACATCTTCACAGCCTTTGATGCAAGATCTCGTAAATTGTTTTAGCTTTGATTACAAACATTTTTATCAGTGCTAAATTATTACAAATATGGAACACCGGCTATATAAATACAAGCAGCTGCATATTAAAAACTAACTGCAAGTTTGTGGATATGCTCATTTTTGTCGATTTATAAATACAAATATATAAACCCACACATTAGATTCTTTTTGTTGGAAAAAATATCACCAGTTTGAAAATACAAAACTACCACATAATTAGGGAACAGTCAAAACAGGTTTAAATACATTTTACAAGATGTAAGAAATACATTTGTAATGAGGAAGGAATGTGAAGGCTAATGAGAAACAGGCAGTAAATGCTGTAACTGGTCCATTCACAGAAGTACTGAATGTTGTGCAGATAAAAGTTGGCCAGCGCAAAAAAAAAATTAAAAATCAGTTCATACAGGTTGCTTCTGATGCTTCCAATTTTTCTCCCAGACTGAAAAAAGTCAAAGGAAGTAGTCAGCCACAGGTTTCTTAGAGGGGATTCCTCTGGTTTCCTGAGGTGCAGCTTCGAATATAATAAACTCCTTCTGGAGATGCTCATCGAGCTCCAAAATGGCTGCCACATTACCACACCTAGGAAATATTCCAAATGAGTAAATTAAGTAATGCAAACCAGCACATTCAGATTTAAATAGTCACTGTTACACACAAGAGTTACTGGACCGCTATGAGATAGAAAGAAAGAGAAAGAAACACACCTATAACAGTAGTTTGGAGCAGACCACACCGTTAACACCGTCTCATTGAAATGCCACTTGTAGCCCTCCATCACCAGCTGATGAGCTCTGCAGATCATGCTGATATCATTGGCAGCATTAAACTGTGCCACCACATCACTACCAAACAGATATCCAGCTCCTCTGGGACTCACACCCCACCCTGTGGTGTCTAGAGACAAGAAAAGAGAGCAACCAATCTTAGGTATTAACAACATATTGAAGGCCTTTCCTTTATGTCGTACATTACATTAGCCTCTCGCACCTTCTGGGTCAGACCACAGTAGGTCACACATGGGTCCATCATGAGGAACTTCCTGTTTTCGGTCAATAGTCCTGATCTGATCCAGAGTTTGAATAGATGGAGAAAGGCCACCATGCACACAAAATATCTGAGGAGCAAAAACAACATGATACTTTGATTCAGCAAGGATGCATTAAATGTATCAAAAGTGACAATAAGAGTTTTACATTCATACAACATTGTATTTCAAATAAATATTGTTCCTTTAAACGTCCTAATATTCAAAGAAGAGGAAAACTGTATCAAAGTTTTCACAAAAAAATATTAAGCAGCTGTCTTCATTGATTAATGTTTCTTGTGAACCAAATCAGAAGGATCATGTGACACTGAAGACTGGAGTAATGGCAGCTAAATAAGAAAGATTACATTATTAAATATATTAAAATAGAAAGTGGAAAGATACAGAATTATAAGAGGACCTACCTTGCCATCAACAATAGCAGAGAGGGACAGGTAGTCAAAGATCTCTGTGCAGTACCTCCAGACTGTAACAGAGCCGTATTTTCTAAGACACTCATCATAAAAGCCATACACTTGCGTGATCTGCCTTGACTCGTGATTCCCTCTGATCAGCGTTATTCGGTCAGGGTATCGCACCTGAAGACATAAATATAAAGGACTGAATAAGGGCAGACTACAGAGTGCAGAACGGCTTTAACACAACACACATTACAAAGCAAGCAAGATTAAGTTCAGGACAGATACTGCACCTTTAATGCTAGCAGCAACAGGAAAGTCTCCACACTATAAAACCCTCTGTCCACAAAGTCTCCCATGAAGAGGTAGTTTGTCTCTGGAACTTCACCCCCCACCTGAAGACCCAGAGGACAATGATGAGAGTCAAACAACACAGCACAAAGAACTGCTTTTTAGAAACTTCCACCAGTCCATACACGTTTGAAAGTAGAAGTATTGTCAGTCAAAGTCGAAGTCTGCTTTATTGTCAATTCTTCCACATGTACAGTGGGACAATGATGAGAGTCAAACAACACAGCACAAAGAACTGCTTTTTAGAAACTTCCACCAGTCCATACACGTTTGAAAGTAGAAGTATTGTCAGTCAAAGTCTGCTTTATTGTCAATTCTTCCACATGTACAGTGCATAAATACAGAGAATTGAAATTGCGTTACTCTCAGACCCTTGGTGCATACAGATAACATTAACAGTAGAACATAAATTACAGATAAATACAGATTAAATATAAAATACAACTATAAAAATATACAAATAAGGACATGTAAAAAAAGATAAAGCAGCACATGGCAGATAGAGTGCAAACCAGTGAAATAAACAAACAGTGCAGATATAATGATTGTAGTGCAGTGTAAATTTAACAAATGACATATTGCATTCTCAAACTTACCCTAAATAGCTCCTTTAAATCATAGAACTGCCCATGTATATCTCCACAGACCTACAAATTAAATAAATAAATAGTGAGCTGATTTCACAATTGCATAATCCTGTGTATACAGAAATACTCACCGTGACGGGAGAATCTACCCTCTGAACATTACTCTCTTCCACCAGAATCTCCCTATTAAGCAAAACCATGAAACTTACAGCATAAATGAGGTAGCTTTTGCAACTTTAATTCAAAACAAGCAACTGTATAATGAGTGACTTAGATGCACATGGGTTGCGCATAGCGGAGTAAAACTAATAAGTACAACAAATGCATAATGGTATCGTGTCTCGAGCACCTAAGCATTACCTCGCTTTGGCACACAGCGCCTTGACTTCATTTTCCTTGATAAGTTCACAGCGTCTGAGTTGCTCGATCTGTCTGTCCAAGTCAATGAAGTCACCCATCATGACACACATGCATACACACTCACAGAAATACCCCTCAATGTGAGGCTGATAAAAACCCTGACTCTCACTGGCTCTCCAGTCCTGTTAGTCTCACAGAGACCACGAGCACACTCAGCCTCCTGAGAAATGAAGAGACTATGAGGTTGTGCACATAATTACACACACCGAGATGATCCCAAAAGATGCCAAGATGAGAAAATGACTGAAAAACAGAGATAAGAAAAGAATCATAAGAAATGTCAAACAATCATATGCTTGCTTGAAACTCACTTGAGACAAATGTGCCAGTGAGTCTTTTAGTGTATCAGTAAGTTTAATAATAATCTAACTCTCTAAAATAATAACAACAGCAATAATAATTTATATTAATATATTGTTTTTAATTTAAATATTTCTACGAAAATATGTAAAATGTTCAAACATAATATTTTTCCCCTTTATTAGTTATAAGTTGTTACATTAATTATTTTATTAAATTAGAATTTCGGTGTTATTTTAAATATCATTACTAAAAACAATACAGCAAATTAAACTATTTTAATTCTTCACTTTCTTGGACGCAACTTAGCCATTAATTTTGACGGCTTCTTTGCATTTTAGTTTTCAGTCGAGGATCTTACAATTTTATTGCAAAAATGAGAACTGCAAAGCCTGGTGTACAAAAACAGTGCAGGGACAAAGCGGTTAGCGTGAATGCTGTGCCGTGTTTGTTTGAGCTTTCTGCCAAAGTAAGTTACTCACTACGATTAAAATAAGAATTGCATTTCACACGTTGAAATGTACGTTTGAATAAATAATAAATACCTTGGGCTTTGGATTAAATTTGTTTAGGCATCCGTTGTTTCTTTAGTAAGATTGTAAATTGAGAAAGCGGCGTATATGCAACTGTGCCCATCACATCAACAAGCAAACTGTTCGGCTCTTCAAAATAAAGGTGCCGATCACCTGTTCTACTTGACAGCATATATTCATTGCTCTTAATAATTCAACTCGTAAAATAAAAATGTGTGAGTGGAAAAATCTTGATCTGACAGAAAAGGCTAAGATTGTTAAACTCTCTATCATGATGCAAGTTTTTAACAGTATAAACCTTAAATGTGGGATTTATATATAGATATTAGGCGTGATGTTACCCCTTAGTTCAAGTGAATTACATTTAAGATGACACTATAACCAACGTTAATTAAAATTAAACCAAGAAAGACCTGTTTGTTCTTGTGGTATTTTCCAAATGACTGTTAGTATTTTGAAATCGAATGTCGTTGGAAAAAGCGCTTTTTCCTGTTTCAGAATGTATGACGACACGGGCTGTGATTGGCCGAACCGGCGCGGCGAAAGACCTCCATGATATTTGGCGCCATTTGTCGAAAACAATCCAACTACGCTAAAACCTACATTATTAGGGAATATGGGCTCTCAACGTTAGATTCAAATGCACTTCTGATGTTAGAGATTACATTTCCACGTAAGGTGGGTTTTGGGGTCGGTTATTATGACATGTTTGTTTTTTTTTGCCGGTTTTGGAATGAATATCGTTGTTTGGGAAATGTGTAGATAGGCTTTGTGTTTACGTAAATTCGTTGCTGTACTCATATTTTATGCACTGTACTCTGTATATTTAGAGTATGTATCAACGTATCCCTCAAGGAAGGAAAAGAACCGGTGAGTGTCTGTAATGTTTATGCATCTTCTACAAACACAGAGTTGACAGGTAAACATTAAATAAATGCGATTATGGAGACGTCATTCGTTCAAACTGTAACTGTTAAACACATGTAGATGTTGTAAATATGTTTAAATAAGCTTAGAATATGAGAATGTGGCTTTGTTGTTTAAATAAGCTTAGAATATGAGAATGTGGCTTTGTTGTGTGTGCTTGTGTTTAAACTCGTTTAAAATCCTTGGTTTTGTCTGTTAAGTCTACACAGATCTATAGTTTGGGGGTGAAACGATGGCTGGGGCCGTGGCTATGGCGGCTGTCATAGAGGATTTTGAGGGTCAGGTATGTGTCACAAAAAAGTTGTAATGCTGATTTGTTAAAGTACTGATTTTCTATTAAAAAAAAAACATTGATTTTCAGCAGTTTACATTTATTGCTCTGTTTCTCCAGCCGTGTAAGAAGTTGAGAAAGGTTGGTGATGCACCATCTGTCAAAACTATTACTAACTACTTTATGCCCAAGCCGGTGGAGAAACCGTTCTCACCACCAAAGTCTAACAACATTATGGACTACTTTAAGAGGACCTCGCCTGCACAAGATATAAAAAGCTGCTCTCTAGTAGCTAAAGAAAACTCCCCGCAACCTTCAGAGCAAGCAAGTCGTGAAATCCCTGTGAAACCTATAAGAGTACAGGGGCAGAAGCGAACCAGGAAGGCCAAAGACAACAAGAAGTCCGAAGAGGAGGATGCACAGGTGGTCACAGATGATGTTGTCTTGATTGAAAGTCCCAGTGAATCATCTGTAAAGGAAAGCAATACTGCCGTCCTTCCAGCTCAAACCTGTCATGATGCCTCCTCTGATGAAGACTCTGACATGAGGAAAAATGTCACAGAGGCTGATCCAGATGTCCTTTTGATTTCGAATTCAGCAGAAAGTTCTGAACAAAAACCCTTAGTAAACCAAAGCAGGAGGAAAGACTGTGCAAACAGAAAATCTGCTGTGAGGAGAAACCGAAAGGCAAAAGGTGGCTGTGAAGAGACTAAGGAATGTGATGCTGATGCACAAGAGCCTGTATGTGAGACTAAATTGGAGGGAAGTGCAGAAAAGAAAAGCGCCACTGTCACAATCTCATTCAAAGACTTTGTGCAGAAGCAAAGTCAAGAGCGGGAAGAGAGCAATGTGATTCCCAAGACTGACACTGCTGACACATCAAGTGAAGGCAACCTCTGTAATGATCATTGTGATTTTGCAGTCGGCCCTCTACAGGTGTCACCACAAACTCTCACGATTCAAGCTGAGGTGCATCCCATTTCCCCTGATCATCTTGAGTCTGTCAAAGTTGCCAAGGAGTTAAAAGTCGCACCTATTTTTAGTAGAAATAAAAAAAGTCAATCAAAAGAGGACAAGAGTTTGTCTGATCCTATCCCGGAGGTTAAACCGGACGTATTGCCTGACCTCAAAAGGAAATCTAACGTTGTTCTTCTTGAGGAAGATCTGGAACTTGATGTGGTGGAGTCCAGCCCCATTCCTAAAAGCACTGAGGTTGAGAGAAAGCAGTTTATGAGTGCTTTTAAGCAGCCTAGTCTTGATGGTTTTAAAAGCAAAACCAACAAGGGTCAGAGCAAGCAGAACCAGGTTCAAGAGAAAGTCTTGGAGGCAGCAGACAATCAGCATGAAAAATCTCTTGAGAACAAAATTGAAGAAAAATCTCTTGAGAGCAAAACTGAAGTCACCAGCTCGGAGCAGCATGAAGAGCAGAAGAGCTGTCCAGGTGACAAAAAGAAGCGAGTTAGGAAATCTGGGAAGAAGGGGCAAGCTAAGAAAGCTGAAGATGCACAAGCTGCAACTCCGAAACCTGAAGAACTTCCAACAGATGTTGACAAAGACAGTAGCCCAGCTGATGATGACAACAGTGAAAAGGCTGTCAGAGAGCTGAGGAGGTCGACCAGAGAGCTTTCACGTAGACAGTCAGCCGCTGTGCATAATAACGCACCACAGAAGAAAGAGAGGCAAGAGGACACAAAGAAAGATGATGAGAACCAAAATACACCCTCTCCCTCTCTGGGCTCTACCCCAAAAGCTCAAAGACCCAAAAGAGGCATGTATAGATCTGAAATGCTCTGCCCACCAGACATGAAAGGCAGCCCTATCAGGTGAGATTCACTTTTTAATTTCCTACTTTAATTGTTTTTTTGTGAAGTACATGAGACAATAAATCAAACATTTTATTTGATAGAATGAGAATCACCAGGGTATTTCCATCCTCTGCTACAAAAGCTGGTGATTTTGAAATATCAAGTCCTCTCTCAACACAGGTAACTAACATTTATGATTTATGTATATTATAAAAAAATAATGCTATGTAATTTTTAACAAGAATTGTGTATATAAGCGTTTTTATGTAATTATTTGATTTAAAAATCTGTGTAATCTAAATGAAATAATATTATTTTATTATATAAAACAGTTGTTATTAGTAGTTGTTTTAAGACTGAAGATTACTCACAAAAGCTCTTCTTTGTTAGGAATTAAATGCAGTTAAAAAAAGAAAACAAGCTAGAAAGCTGGTGCAGAAAGCCAAAACTCTTCAGCAAAGTAAAAAGGACACTAATAAAGATAAAGACACTGTACGACGCTCTACAAGAAGCAAAGAGTCCATCATAAATTACTGTGACGATGAGGTAAGATAGTGGGTTTGTTAAAAGTAAATTTGTGTAAATGTTTTATGCTTACAGGAACTGCTACTAAAATTACTCAAATTCTTTAAGTCAAGTTATTTTTAGTTTTTATAATTTATATAATGTATTCTTTTTAGGATTCTGTAGTGTTTTTGGAGGAAAGCAAAAGGACTCCAGTCACCTCACAGGAAAATGACAAAAGCCAGAAGAAGCTTCGTAGTTTGAATGAAGTTTTGGGTAAAAATACATCTCAAAATAAAACATCTAAGACGTATCCTGCAGGTACGGTACTGACACAAATGGTTAAAATGAAGTCAACACCTTAATGTTATTTTTATTAATTGTGATTTTGTGCCAACTTGGAAATCACATTCAAGTCATTAAAAAACGCATTGATGTCTATTTACATGTTTTTAACTTCTAAAGTGGCTCCTCTGTTCGGTGAGAAAAAAGCTCAGAGACCGTCAGCTGTCATTTCCATTTTTGACGACAGCAGGTATTACGTCAGTAATAACAGACAATAATTGAATTGGCAAATGCTCATTATTTCTTTTAGTGTTAAATTCTAATAAATGCCTGTACCCCCAAACTCAACCCTGTCAGTCGAGAGGCATCAGAGAACTCGCAAGATGATGAACAGTTCAGAGCAAAGAGAGAGTTTCTGAAGAGTGGCCTTCCAGAGTCCTTCAAAAAGCAGATCGCAAAGACAGCAGCCAGCCGAGAAGCTTACAGTCAGGCCTGTGCTTCCTTCCAGACAGTGGTTCATGTCCAGCAGAGGGCTGCAGGTAAGCTGACCGGTGTTATCTAGATTGTGTTCTCAAATTTTGTGTATTTGAGACTAATGTGCTCATTTCTTTCCATGTCAGATTGTTCTGTTTGGAATCTCCAGTGGCCCACAAATCCCTTGCTGAGTTGTTTGAAGGAGTCCTATAATTTACCTTCTGTACCTCTGATGTCTTTACACAAGTCTTTAGGTTGTGCTACAGTTCCTGCGAAGAGAGCCGGTTGCCATCAGGTTGGTAATCTTTTGGTGAAAATTGTTATATTTATGCGTTTTGCATTTTTTATTAAATATTTCAGTTTGTTAATATACATTACCATACAAAAGTTTGGGGTCAGTAAAATGTTTTTTTCTGAATGAATGAATACTTTTATTCGGTGAGGATGCATTCAATTGATCAAAAAGAAGTAACTTGTTTTTTATTATTTAGATGTCCTGTTGTCGAAGATCTGAGTTTTCTGAGCCAATCAGGGTGCATCTTTTGGAGGAGATGAGAATCTCCAATCCCTCCTTCCCTCATCAATGCTTTTTTACACGGTTTGTTAAGAGACATGAGGACTACATCCTCCAGGCCTCTGCCTCAGGTGACTGAAAAATACAATTAAATATTTTTTTTTGTTTTGCTTACAGTAAGATATTATTCTTAGGCAGAAATGCATTCATAATCAGACGTGTATCCCTGAATAATTACAAGAATAAGACTAAGACAGATTGTTTTCACATTTCTTTCATTTATATGATTATCTGTAGAACCTGAAGGTGAGTCTAAGGTGTCCTGCCCTGCTGCATCATCTGATGGCATCGGAAGGAAACGGAAGCGTGTGGATGGAGAGATGACAGGCAAAGTGGGTAAAAAACCAAAGTCCAATCACACAGAAGGGGATGTCATAGTGATTGAAGAAAGTCCACCATCAGGAGGACAAGCAGCACAGAATGTGTCCGACATGGTGCCGTCTGGCAGAAGACGAAGAGGTCGATCACTAAGGCAAAAGCAGAAAGAAGAGCCCAAGCCAGCAAAGTTGATCTCACCTGTGCTAAACCAGAATGATGCTGTCATTATAGTGGATTCCCCTGTCCCAGAAAATTCAAGCACAGAAGGTGAAAATTAAAT